AAGAGAGCTGCGCTATGCAGCCGTTTCTTAACGGAGCACAGAACTGGCCATCCCTAGCTAGGGTCACTTGAGTCACATTGCACGGCCCGGTGTGGGGTCATTCGAGAGGACTGTTGTAGTACTAGCTCCTTCGTGAATAATGGATCCACTTCCCCTCCACCCGCCCGTCTCTTTTAGATCCAATTTCATGCCGCGTGTATTTGGAATGTTTATTTGAGTCTCTCGGGATAGGACCAAAATATCAGATTCCCTGCTTGGTTTCTTCCCCCATTACAGAAATAAGCTGCGAGAGAAAGGGTCCTGGGAAAACCCCAGGGAGTAATTAGCAGCGATGTGGACAGGGGCCGGCACTAGTAGTTTCTGTGTCTATTGCTCCCAGAAGTTACCAAAAAGCTTAAGCGCTGCTCATGTTTGCTGGCTGGCAAAGTGCAGCCACACTGCAAGACTGCCTGTTATTCGGCCCCACCCCTGCAACGAAGCCCAACACAGAGCGCCCCACTTCCTAGATTTCGAGGACCATAAAGTTAGTCTCCTCTGACCTCACACACCAGAGAATTCCTCTCGGTAAGTCGCTCAAAGTATTCAGCTTTGTTCAACTTTGCCCACACACCCCTCTTGGCAGCGTTTTTCTGGTTCCCAAAATGCTGAGCTCTAACTGCAAGACAGTTCACCAGGCAGTCCCCATATCCAGGGGCTAGCTCTGCTTTTCACGAGGACCATAAAGTTAGTCTCCTCTGACCTCACACACCAGAGAATTCCTCTCGGTAAGTCGCTCAAAGTATTCAGCTTTGTTCAACTTTGCCCACACACCCCTCTTGGCAGCGTTTTTCTGGTTCCCAAAATGCTGAGCTCTAACTGCAAGACAGTTCACCAGGCAGTCCCCATATCCAGGGGCTAGCTCTGCTTTTCATGGGGCTATGCTGTGTCCATTAAACAGGGGACATTCTGGGCTCGGGCTACTGCAGCATGGTACAACCCAGCACCCAGCTCCTGCTCTCCCAAGGTATGTCTGATGTGCAAGCTCAGGTAGATTCACATGTGCAAGCTAGTCACCCGAGAACGTGTGCAGGACCCTCAGAAGGGATAGTTGTTGGGGAGCTGGCCAAGCCACCATCCACACAGCTGCGGGCACAATGCTATTTTTGGCAGCTAGCTTGACCCGAGCTAGTGCAGGCTGGGAATTACACCTCCCTGCTGCAATGTAGCTGTACCCAAAGCTGAGCGGGCTGCGGCGCTTACGGGGCAGGAAGCCTTGTCTGAGCCAGGAGAATAAGCAGATGAGGTTTCTCTGTGGCCTGATTTGATTGACATGGCTGAGGTACTTGATGGAGTCACTCCAGAGTAAGTTAGAGGCGGGTCATGATGTGGGGAAGGAGCGGGCTTTTTCTAGAGTTACGCTGCCAACTGTTAACCTCACTCCAAAAGAGCTGGTCTCGTCCATCCCTGAGCCCCCTCACTGCACCTTCTCAGCCTTCCTTTGTCATGGTTTCCAGAAACCGGTGTTGGCCAGCAGGTCAAGCAGGAAGGGGAGAAACTCAGCAGCTGCTTTAGCCCAAAGATCCAAGCAGCCAGCATGAAAGAGAGGGCTGAAAGCCTGCCATCCTGTGCATGAAAGACACTAGAAGCTGCCGGAGGGCAGGTCTGAGGTGCAGAGAAGCGGGTGTCGGGTGGGATCCAGCAGAGCAATGGTCCCGGGCAGACAAAAGGGGGGAAAAACAGGGTCCTCAATAAAGATCCCCATGCAAGAGGCCCTTGAAAAGCCACAGATACAAAGCCCGTTGCCCAGGAAACTAAGGGTGCCTTCTCGTTATTGTTGGCAACAGGAAATGGCGATAAACACCGTAATCCAGGCCCAGCTGCTGCCACTGTCTTTTCCTCTTGATTCCAGGCACAGAAGAGAAAGATGTGTCTTGCATTGTTCTGCTGTCTCCCAGGGCACCACCATGCCCTTGGGATCCACAGAGACTCCAGACCCGGTGCTGTCTAATCGGGATGATCAGGCTGCCATGGCAACCAAACAGGCCACGACTCCTGAAGGTTAGAGACAAACCTGACATGAGGCCAAGGCACCTACATTTCACTTGTGTGCTCTCACCCATTACACCTGCCTATGTGCTTACAGGCACACAATTACCCATAGACTCAGTGTAAGGGACAGGCAGTCTTGCCTAGCAGTCACAGCTGGGCGGAGGTCCATCCACCAGGCATGAGACTTGCAAGGCCAGGTCCTGTAAAGAAGAGTCAAGGTGAGGCCGGGGTTGAAGACCAGAGAACTCGGGCAGTGCCAGATGACAATCGAGAGGCAGGAATCAGGGTCAGAGGCAGGCTGGGGTCAGAGCCCAGAGATGAGGAGACAAAGCAAAGTCTGGCACTGCAGCAGGCTGAGGACTGCATGGTTTCCCAGACAACTTCCTAGGGCAACTCTGGGAGTTAAGACGAGGGATTTGACCGATCAGAGGGCGGAAGGGTACTGTTCCTCCGTGTCTATTCTTGGGGGCGGTACTTCCTGTGGCACCTACTATATCTCCATAGGGCCTTTTGATGCACTGCGGAAATATCAGCCGCCCCAGGCTCTGCGGATCTGGGTGCTAGTTCCTGGGTCCTTACATGCACACAGAGTGAGCTCCATGCCCACAAACACACCATCCATGCAGATGCTGACACATGTGTATCTATTCATGGACATGCACGTCTCGACAAGTAGATAACATGTTACAGCCTGGGACATGAGACATTCCAATTTGTGCATGTTATATCGTGCACTACCGTGTCATGCCTTACATGCCTGAGACACTGCAGGGCATCACTGCCTATATAACGTACAGCAGATAGGATCTCCTAACAAAACCATGCTAGAAACACATGACATAGCTAAGCCATGATAATGCACGTTAACATGCCTTGACTACACTGTGATAAACATATAGGCATAACCTAAGACAGCAAGATGACACAGCAGAAGAGTGATGACAAATTGGCAAAGATATTTTAGTGAAACTTCTTGTTATTCTGTATGCTGGCTCTGAGACATACTGCCATTGTCACCATTACCAGGAATATTCACAATATGAAGCATCACATCCCCTTGCAGCTTACAGATTCATATCAAAAGTATATGGCAGACTTAAGAGACCTAGCATTTTGAAAGCAAATGTAAAAGCCAGTTCATGTACCCAGAAAGGCCCAACCAAAAGCATCATCTTCCTCTTCCTTTGTTACAGCTGAGAGCATCTCTTGCATCTCCAGTAGCATAAGGAATGCAGATCCTTGCTGTTTTAATTGTTAATAAACAATGTGATAGGCAGGATTGGGAGCAACCCCTAATATTAAGGTTACCAAACCTTCCCATTATGAGACCCTCTTTTCAGTTGCTTATGACTCTGGCAAACATTAAGGTTACATCTACACTGGCATGATTTTCCGAAAATGCTTTTAACGGAAAACGTTTCCGTTAAAAGCGTTTTCGGAAAAGCACGTCTAGATTGCTTTTGTGGAAAAGCATCCTGCCACTTTTTGCGGAAAAGCGTCCGTGGCCAATCTAGATGCGGTTTTCCGCAAAAAAACCCCGATCGCCATTTTTGCGATCGGGGCTTTTTTGTGCAAAACAATACTGTGCTGTTTACACTGGCCCTTTTGCGCAAAAGTCTTTCAGAAAAAGACTTTTGCCCGAACGGAAGCAGCATAGTATTTCCGGAAAATCACTGACAATCTTACATGAGATCGTCAGTGCTTTTCCGGAAATTCAAGCGGCCAGTGTAGACAGCTGGCAAGTTTTTCCACAAAATCAGATGATTTTGCGGAAAAACTTGCCAGTCTAGACACAGCCTAAATGTTTGGGCTCACATTTTCCACAGAGTGTGTTTGCCTCAAGCTAATTTTTTTCTCTTCGTTTAAAAAAAAAAAAAAAATCTCACCTCCAAAATGGGAGCCATTTCTGAGTACAAGGCTGCAGGGAACAAAGGTTGTTTTGCCCATGTTCAATTCTGGCAGCCTTTTCTTTGAAAAACTCTCGCCTCCCCATACGTTGGAACAATAACCTGAAATGTAGCAGGGCGCTGGCCTTTGGGCGTGGCTTTTCCGGAAATTCAAGCGGCCATTTTAGACAGCTGGCAAGTTTTTCCACAAAATCAGATGATTTTGCGGAAAAACTTGCCAGTCTAGACACAGCCTAAATGTTTGGGCTCACATTTTCCACAGAGTGTGTTTGCCTCAAGCTAATTTTTTTCTCTTCGTTTAAAAAAAAAAAAAATCTCACCTCCAAAATGGGTCAGCCATTTCTGAGTACAAGGCTGCAGGGAACAAAGGTTGTTTTGCCCATGTTCAATTCTGGCAGCCTTTTCTTTGAAAAACTCTCGCCTCCCCATACGTTGGAACAATAACCTGAAATGTAGCAGGGCGCTGGCCTTTGGGCGTGGAATGTGCTTTTGCTAACCCCGTGAAAATCAGCCCACGTACGGCCTGGTTCTAGGCCTTTGAAAAATTGCAACTTGCACATGCATAGTGGAGACTGCTTGATGTTGACAGCTAGTTTCCCCAGAGATTCAGTCCACAATGGCTTGGGTGGCAGGTTTGCAGAAATTTTGGTGGTGCACAGAACCCAAAGGTTCTGGGAGGGAGTTTGAGTGGGGAAGGAGCGCAGGTTCGTGGTGGGTGTGGGTGGGGGAAGAGAACCAGCCCCAAACTTTGATGGAGCAGGGCCCCTGAGCCAGGAATATGCCACTGGGCAAGATCTGGGCTGCTGTGGTCCAGGACCAAGAGCCAGGAAGGAAAGCAAAGAATCCATCTCCCCAGTGCTCTCCCCTTGCGTCTGATGCAGAGTGGAGGAGGAAGCTGAAATAACACAGAAGAGCCAAAAGCCAGACCCGCAGGCAGGAGCAGGGACACGGAAAGGCAGGTGTGAGACTGGGACTGGAAGTTTGGGCGGGAGGTAATTGGCATGGAGACTGGGACCAAATCCATCCTTTCTCTTCCTGCAACCCACTGCCCCATTCACTACATACCTTCCAACCGCTGCCATAAATGGGGCAAGGCCTCCTACACAGAACAGCCACCTTCTCTATGCAACTCTGATTCACTTCCAGAGCAGGTCCATGCTATGCACCAAATAAAGCTGGGCTTCTGTGGCAAAAAGAAATAGCATGTGATCATTAGAGGCAGTCTCATACAATGCACCCCTCTCTTCCAGTAGGGGCTGGCATCACAGAATCCTAGAACACTAGAACTGGAAGGGATCTCAAGAGAGAGGTCACCAAGTCCAGTCCCCTGCCCTCATGGCAGGGACAAGCACCATCTAGACCAGTGTTTCGAGTACCCTTCGGGGTACTCGAGAGACGTCTGGGGGGTACATCAACAACTGATATTTGGAGAAAACGGAATTTTTGTTTCAAGTTTTACAGTGCTTTATTATTTTTGTACTTTTTACACCCCAAAATTTCATCGCCCACCCAGCTACGATGAAGTTGTTTAAACAAATATGTCGCAATGGTAGAAAAAAAATTGTGTGTGTCTGAAAACTGTAGGTACTGGGGGTACTTATTTTTTGTAAAGGGAGTACTTATAAAAAAAAGATTGAGAAACACTGACCTAGACTATCCCTGAAAGGTGTTTGTCTCACGTGCTTTTAAATATCTCCAGTGATGGAGATTCTACAACCTCCCTAGGCAATTTATTCCAGTGTTTAACCTCCCTGACAGGCAGGAAGTTTTTCCTATTGTCCAACCTAAACCTCCCTTGCTGCAATTTAAGCCCATTGCTTCTTACCCTACCCTCAGAGGTTAAGGAGAACAATTTTCTTCCTCCTCCTTGTAACACCCCTTTAAGGTTGTACAGGGAACCTTACTTTTGGCATTTCCCAACTTTGACTGCCTTCCTCCAGCAGTTTCCAAATAGACTACAGAGACGAGGCCAAACTGTATTTATACCTGCTCATTGGGTGATAGCAATGTGAAAAATCAGACCATTTTTGGGGGGAGTTAGGAAGGGATAGAAGAAAAAGCCGCTAGTATCAGGCCATCAGATCACCCTACCTGCATGGTGCTACTGAAATCAGCTAAGCAGTACAGGTGTAACTGAGCACAGTTTGGCACTGTGTGAATGATTAAACACCCGCAATGAAATGCAGCTCCTTCTGGGGAGGAGGGTGGGACATGCACCAACACCAAACAACTGTTAGCACATGTTAGGATAGGGAGTGAGGGGAAATGTATCTGCTTGGAATTGCAGGGGAATTTAGAAAGAGGGCAGATGTAGTGATCTGGACTGGAATTTGGCCTGGTCACCAGGGCTAACACTGCGCCTTGCAAGCCAGCAGCACACTAAGACTCTTGGGGTACGTCTACACAGTAGCGTGTACCTCGAAATAAGCTACACTATTTGAGCTACACAAAGTACGTCGCTTATTTTGAAATTTGGCGCTGTCTTCATAATAAATCGCTATTCAAGCATCTTCCTTATTCCTCGAGCAACGAGGTCTACAGGAGGCTGGAATAAGAATCCGGTTATTTCGAATGTATTTCAAAATAACGGGCGTGCTGTTAAGACACGCAGAACGGAGGTTATCCCGAAATAGCGCTGCCGTGTAGACGTATCCTTGCAGAGAAATGAGGCCTCACGCCAAAGAACGTACAATTCAGCCGCACAACTTGCCCACAAGGGAGGGAGTCGCGAAGGCTGATGAAGCGAGTCCATCTAACAGGGACGGCAGGCCGGTGCCTTGCTAGTTTCACAAGCCCACAGGAGTGCCCCTTTCTACACGCTCATGAGCCAGAGTATTTACGTTAGTCAGCAGGGGCAAGCTCCCATTTCATTCTAGGGGAGTCTCTTAACAACAGCTGGGCAGGAAGGGGGAGGAGTATATGGCAAGACTGACCCAATCTGCCCTTGCGCAGGAAGCCAGATCAAACTCGGTAGATTCGGTCCATCTGAGCCCAGAACCAGCTGAGCATAGACCGAGTGCTACTACTGGGAGTCAATCAAGACCAAAGCACCAGAGTGACGCTCGGCTGGGTTGACGGCGGTAGTGACCAGAAGGGGAACGTGTGGCGTTCTCTGCATTTTCGCAGTCCCATGGCCATGTGCCTTGCATTGCACAGGCTTAAACTGATCCCTTCCATCGCCAATCCTCAGCTGGTTCCCTACCCAAGGGGTTATTCACCTCTTCAGCCCAGCCCAGCCCCTTCCTCCAAGGAATAATTGTCCGTAGCTCAGTGACCACTGCCACCGAGTCCCTGGCAGGGAGATTTGGCATTTTGCATGGGCAAGTGCTTTTCTGATGCATCGGGAGGAGGGGGGGGGGGGGTGTCTGTGCTCTGCATGTGTGTGTTAAAATCAAAGGGACTGAAAAGGTCTCAGCTCCCAAAGTGCTGATGCAAGACGTCAGGCAGAAAAAAACCAAACCTGGATGGACAGGAGACCACTAGAGAAGCCAGACACAAGAGACAAGTCTGTATTCCCCCAGCCAGTCCTGGGAGAGTGCCCCAGTTCCTCCCAGCGCCCACCCTCTTCCCCCAACGGTCCCTTCCAGAGCTTCGTATAAGACACAGACTGCTGCACTCCATTGCCACTGGGGTGGATTTCATCTGCAAAGAAGGCCTGGAGCAAGGTTCACTCATGCTAGTATGTGGAGGGTGGGGATGGTACATTGGTGTCACGTTTCTGGATTTTAGGGAAGCAGCCAGATTACTGCTGTACCCATAGGTGGGGGTGCTGGCTCCAAAAATGGTATAAAATGGGGCCATGTGGGGTGTTGAATAGAAGCTCACTGTCTGCTGATCCTGTGTACGCTATTCATGTGATTGTATAATGTTTGTGTGTGTAGTTAGGAATCTGTAGTCTGTGTGGATACTGAATATTTCTCTGAATGTGATTGAGCATTGGGCAGAGCCCAGCCTATGGACATGCTAATTAGCGAGGCCCTGTGGGACAATGACACTCAATGGGCCAAGGACACACTTAAAGCATGAGGGCTGACACCTGAGAGCTGCCAGCAGGGAACACAGGGATAGGCCTCTGGCCAGGTGACCTGCTGCAGCCAAGAAGAGACCAGGAAGGAGGTATAAAGAGGCCATGTGGTGGACTCCATCTTGGTTACTCAGCTCAGCACTTCATCCCAGAGGCAGCAGTGCAGGGATTGAAGAGCCCGGAAGAACTGTGGACCCATCCTGATCCTAGGATGCGCAACAAGGACTTTTAAGCCAGCAGCTGTAACATCTCTGCTAGAGCCTGCATCGAGAACTGGGAGACTCGATGCATGTAATGTACTATCCTTTGACAAACTTACTCTTAGGCTTTTCTTTATTGTAATAATAAACCTTTAGATGATAGATGCTAAAGGATTGGCCCAGCGTGATTTGTGGGTAAGGTCCAAAGGGTAAATTGACCAGGGATCTGTGGCTGGGTTCTTGGAACCGGACGGAACTTGTTCGGGGTATGTGGGATTGGGTGCTAGGACCCCCACCTGTGTATGAGGCCCGGGGCCATCTGGGGCACGGATATTGCTGGGGTGTCGGAGGGGTTTTGCTCGTGAGGCTTCAGGCAGGCAGCTGAAGCGCTCTGTGGGACTGGTGTGTGGCCTGTTTGGAGAGGTCACCAGTCTGGGGGCTGTGAGGAGCCCCGAAGTTGAGCAATTCACCCTGAGCAGATGCCCTCAGCTGTGCCCAGACACGGCCCGGTCCGTCACAGAAGTGAAGGGCAGAGCTGATGCCACGTAATGGGGGGAGGAGGGGGAAGGCGCTAGGAAGCAGCATGTGTTGTGTAAAGTGTTTGGCAGAGAGAGGAAGTTGACATGACCCATGGAAGCTTCAGGCCCATGCTCTGCCCCATCAGCTGCTTTTCCCTCCCAGCAAGGAGTGACTACTTTGTGCTGTGCATGTAACTGGAACGTCCCACACCGGCTCAGCCAGCCTTCCCCATCTCACCTGCCCTGCGGAGCTCCCCCATGCCAGCGTGGAGCCAGAGCCTCCTCCAGCCTCGCCCGCCCTCCCTCCACTCCCCGCCACCCCCCGTCTTGCAATGGAAATAAATTGCCGCCGATTCCCGTAACTCAGGCAGAAAACTCAGGCCCCTTGCTGATAAAAAGCAGCCGGCCTGGCCAGCATTGCCATGGCAACCGGCACTTTCTTTCTCCCCCCGCATCCCTTTGTTCGGCCGTGGACCCAGACTTTTGTGCCCAGTCATAATGGGGCCAGACTCTCCGGATGTTTAAGGGGTGAGGTGAGAGGAATTTCATTCAGCCGCAGCTTGAGTGGCCGGTCTCCTTCCGAGAGGTCAGCTCCGGGAATGTTATTGACCAAGGCCCCATGCAGGGAAGGCGGCACTGAAGAAAGCACTAGGGGAAGAAAAGAAATTCCACCCCCCCCCCTTCTCCCCGCTCCAAATGCAAACCCCTCAGCAAAAGCCTTTTGTTTCCATCGCTGCTTTTCTGCTACTCCCTCCACAGCTGCTCTGAGCCGGACACAACAAAACCCACCAGGCCCGCCTGGCTCTCCCTCCGCACAGGCCTTTGCCTCTCCTGGCACCTGCAGCAGACAAAGCTCGGTGCGTCTCAGACATTCGGCTCCTGACAGCTGCCAAGCCCTGGCGGTGCCAATGAGAGCCACGGGTAACTCGGCCCCTCAAGTTGGCTCCCTACAACTGAAGCTGACCTCCTCCCCCATTAGCAGATGTTGGAAGCCTTTGGCTTAAGGGACTGGCACAAGTCTGTGGTGGAACCAGAAATCTCAAGGCCAGGATCAAAGGCGCCTTAGAAAGAGGCACCAAACTCCTTTACAGGAATTGGCCTCTAAATCCCTTAGGCTCCCTGGCAGGCAGGATTGACAGAAATAACTAGGGATCCAGAGACATGTTAACAACCTCATTTAGAAGAACTACTGAGCGATCCCCCTCTGACACACACGCACAAACTAGTCTGTCTCTGGTCAGACCCTGGGTCTGCAAAGGGCAGTTCCAATGGGGAATACAAGAAAAATGGTCTGCTGGTTTAAATCAACAACTAGACCCTGCCACTCTGCCTGTAGAAATACCACGGCGGCAGTCAGAGGCAGAAGAGAACTCAAGTTTTTCTAACTGAAGGAAGGCCCGTGCCCTAACCCATCGGCCATCCTTCTCTTTACTGTGGGAAA